ATGAGGCTAGCAACCCCATCCTGTAAAAATAATCACCACTGCTACAGAAACTTCAAGCATCTAGCTTGGAGCCCTATGTTCCACTGGGAACGTGAAGGAAAATAAAAAAAAAGATAATTTAAATGATGTATTAAGGAGGTAGAGATGAAGTGGATGAATTACAAAACTTTGAAAGATTATTAAATAAGTGAACTGGTTTAGAGATTACAACGTTGTAAGCGTGTTTACCGTAAACGCGTAGTTGAACACTACCGGGTTTGGTTAATGATAGGGTTGGTATAGGACCACGAAGTCCTCGAATCGTGAACACCTTTTAGAGTCAGGTCATTCAGCCCGATGTGATTTATCCTTCAAAGTTATTTAAAGGACTAAATCTAACCACTCCAAAAGCCTATATTTTCTCCATTTATGCCATAAGTTGACAGAAACGTAAATTGTGTTCGAAAACGTTTTGTTAAACCCCTTTCTTCACCTTGGTTATAGTTATGTTCTTTTATTTTATTATATTTTACCACTTGAATTCATTCCACTTCATTTCATGTTCGTCGTCTTTATTGTGATCATCATCGTACTGTTAATTTTTTAGACAACACTTAACTTACTATCTTAATATCTTTAGAAGTTTTGTAATTCATCCACTTCAATTCTATCCCTTTAGTACATCACTTTAGTTATCTTTATTCTTATCACATGCGTAATATTGACTGAGCAATTTCTGGTGCCACTTAATGCCGTTTTCCATAATATGAATGCGACTATCCAGCTTGAAAGTGAAGTCGCTGAAAAGAGATATTTCTTTGTTGAACAAAAACTGTGTTTTTCCTTATGAGACAATGAAACTAGGAGGCAGTTATAATTAATCATTAGTCCAACTTCGTTTTAATTAATCCAAATGCAACCGGGGAATAACTCACTTCATATTTTCGTTATTTGGTTGATGTGGTGACTTGCATTTGTGGTCGAGGATGCACATTTCGTCCTATTCGAAGCTTATCAGCTAGGCATACCTGCTTTGATAACAAAAAGTGCTGAGTTCAAGTCTCACTGAGAGATGTAGGTGCATTCATTTGACCAATTTTAAATAAGACAAAATGTGCGTCATGGATTTCTTGGCTAGCCATCATCAAAACAAGCAAAATCGTGTCCATATTAGGGTATTCTCGAAGCATTCGTGCCAGTCGTGGGTAGATCAAGATAAATTTAACATTAACAAATAATCATATCTTATATCATAAATTCATAATCATACCTGTGATTATGGATTCTTACTGCCTACCGGCTTACACTAAATCGGATATGTTTTATGTTTTGGTTACAGCTTGATTTCACACTGTATTTTTTGTACAAGTGTGGGATTTTCAGCGTGGATATCGGTAGCCCAGAATTCGCAGGCCAACCATAGATATCAGGTGTGCGTCGGCGTGGGCTCGAACCCCGGACCATGTGCATGGTCGGCGAGAGTCCTAACCACTGTGCCACCGACGCACATATCATTCTGAATGACTGAATTCAACGTAGAACTTCTCACAGAAGTACAGCAATTCGAGTTGCCGCTCTCCGTATCGCATACAACCGAAGACAAAAGAGAAAAAGTGCGATTCGGAAGAATGATAATAAGCAGCAGCGAGAGGGAGAAAGAATAATAACGCGGAAAAACAACACGGCTTTATTGGATATCATTAATCAGAAAGAGCCAATGCATCTGCGCCATTACGGAACGATTTTGAGTCATATCACCAATTTTCTCTACTCTTGGATTCTCACCATCTCGAGGAAGCCAACCGGTCAGTAAGTCTACATATCCCTACGCAGCCAGCTTAAACTAATTGTTGTGGATTTTATCGACTGATGAAGGCATGTTTTGGTTTAACCACCACTGGCTCTTTACCAATCTGATCCATCTTATACCAGTCAGCTAACAATTCCCGTTGTCTAGGCAAGGGTTACATATGTCCTAGCCGTTTGAATTGATGTAACTTCACATCCTCGTTGGTTGACTTTCTGTTCCTACGTAACATACGACGCCTAACCTCAATATTACTCATCCTATTATACCATCTAATACACACGGTTGATAGAATGCTGACGCTTATGATTAAAGACAGATAGCCTTTCCATGTTTTCCACTTTCTATAGCCATAACTCGCAATCATGAAGGAGGACGTAGTGAACTGTTGAACAGCACACACGTTCTTTGATCGATAGCAAACCAGATATCACGTCTGCGCCTGAGATGACGTAAGTTAGCAAACCCCACAAGAAACTTCTGTCCTTTGTTATTGGCAAAATCACCAAGTGGTGAATTCTTTTCAACATCTACCTGCCTTCCCTTCGTTCTACTGACTGCCTGCTAGACTACAAGTGAACCACTTCTTAAAAGCGCTTGACACACTACTAAAATTTTCAGCTCCAGCATTGAATTGCAGTGATATCAGCCCCGACGGATTGATCACTGACGAAATCTTAGCACGGAAACATTCACCTCCTTGTTTCACTGCTAGCATAGCTTATAAAGCATACAGTCTTGTCGTTACGACTAACTGTGTTTTCAAAGGAAACTGTGGTGATTTCTCTACCTCGAACTGTGTAATTTTCAAGTGATGAAGTTGTGATTCCAAGTGTTACCAGTTTCCCTCGAGTAGCCAACTAGAATTCGGCTGGTCTAAACCTATTTCTTGCAGTCTCATCTGAGTAAGACGGAACATTCTGCTGGTGAGCTCAACTTCAAACGAGAGAAACGGTCGTCCTTTGCCTAGACCACTTCCATCTGCCTGATGAACGATCACCACTATTTGACATCAGTGATTCCCAACTATTCATTTCAAACAATTAGTAGCGCACACAGTATCTTCGAAGCGTTGTCAAAAAACGACTAGAATTTTGAAATAAACTAAATTAACGGTGGGAATAATTAACACTACTACTATGTCCACATGTGAATAGAGATGAAACTATAAATAAAATAATGAATTAAGTAAACTAAATGTAAGTTCAGATAACGAACTTAACAGCTCATGATTAAATCCTCCATGCAATCAAACAAAATCCCTACAAAACCAATACTTGAAAATTAATCTGATGCTCACTAGCGACTGGCCCTATTCAGGCAGTTAACCTGGTGTTCTAGTGGGAAGCCGTGACCAGTAGGGTACAGCAGGTCGAAGATGAGGCAGTAACTCATCGAAGAAGACATTGCGAAGTGGTCGCTCTATGTCGTGAACTGGCAGAAGTTAGAATTCAAGGACCATTGGATCGGGTCCCAGTGGCTCAATGGTCTACGAGCTCGCCTTGTAACCAGAATGTCCTGGGTTCGAATCCCGGTGGGTGCGTACTGCTGAAGAGTTCCAAACTAGGACGAAACAGTTGTCCAGTACTCCCAGGTTTTCCAGTGGTTCTCTAACTGATGTCAGCTCACGATTAAATCCTCCATGCAATCAAACAAAATCCCTACAAAACCAATACTTGGAAATTAAAATTTTCTTCGCTGTTTGTGCCTTTTCTTATGACTCAATATGGGAATATTTCGTTCATATTCGTTTATTCTCGCGAAAAGTATTAGGAATAACATTCAATTATTTGTACAGAGAGGATTTTGAGGAAAATTTTTCGACGTACCACAAAACCACACACTTTATTATTTTTTTTAATTTTTGACTACAGCTTGATTCCACACTGTATTTTTGGTACAAGTCTGGAATTTTCAGCATGGATATCTGTAGCCCAAATTTTTCAGGCCGACCATAGATATCAGGTGTTCGTCGGCAGGGTATCGAACCTCAGACCATGTGCATAGTCGGCGAGAGTCCTAAGCACTGTGGCACCGACGCAGGAAACATGGTGTAGTGTGGGAACAAAGCGATGGGAGCAAAAGACAGAGAATTACTAAGGAGAGAGAGTTATAAGGATAATTGAAATCTAAAGACGGATTCCTTTTGAACACATATTTATACCCTCGGTAAAACTAATGTGGAAATCTAGGTATAATTACAGTCAGCTAGAAGCTGAATTTCATTCAGCTTGTCTTTAAAAGTGATGATATTCTAAGAATGGTAAATAAGTGCTTAAGTATAGCAATGACCAGGACGTATCTGGAAACAAAACTAGTCTTCCTACTTTAAGGGCTTGTGTCAGATTCCTCGGACATGTAGCAAAGAACCTTCAATTAAAGGAACCGAATAGTTTATACTTGTCAAATTTATGAAGGGAAATTCGTGTATTGAATTTTGTAGCCTCCTATCAACTGATGTTATACCACTTTTGCAAGTACATTCAAAAATTTCTCTGTAGGTCTCCTGAATTGTTTTTGTACAGTTGTACGCAGTTGATTAGAATCCGACGAAATATATAATAGTGACATCTCATTGTGCAAAAACCGTTATTTATTTACTTGTTTTTGCCCTATTCCCATTTATAGAGGGGAATTAGTGTATGATGCAGTAACTAAAATCTATTTATCGAAGCTTTAAATCGGTCTGTTATCAGTGACCTCATTTTATTTATTTTCGTCAAAATTTACTTCTTACAATCACAGAGAAAAATAGTTAAACTCCTATAGAGACAGTAAAATTACATAATTTTTTATTTTATTTTGCACTCTCGTTATCTGATTGCATTGGTTACTTTCCTTAGGAGGCAGGCATTTGGGAGTGCAAAGTGCTTTACTACAATAGTCATCACTCGTTCTATATCACACAACTCTGATTGCTGATTGGTTGAAATATCAGTACATTTATTTATTTCGGCCAATTATATTTTAGGTACTGTTATATTTCGCCTTGGTAATCAACCTTCTCTACACTTCTCATTGGCTGATTTCTACTTTTCTGATATAAGATCGATAAATTTGCACCCAAATGGGTATGTATGTGTGTGCATATCTGTGCATTCTGTAGGGATAATTCACCCTGTGTATGTATTAATGTTAAGAAAAGGAAATTTAATTCATCACTGACAGTAGCACCTGGAGCAGTAATAACAAAATAACGTTACTGAATAAAAATATGTCAACTCAGTTATTTTTACTGTTTGCATTAATAACTTTAATTTCTGCATGGCAAAATGATGCCAATTCTTACAACAGTTATTCTTCACCTTCTTCTGGTCAACAGCAAGCTTCACTTATCCAAGAAGACATAGAAGCTGAGTGTCAAAAATGCGATCAAAAGAAATGTCCACCGATAACTCAATGTAATGTTGGCATTGTACGTGATAAATGTGGATGTTGTGATATTTGTGCACTTGAAGAAGCTCAGCTGTGTAATATTCCACAAGATTTTCAAAATGGTGTCCTAAAATCAGGCATTACATGGCATGGGATCTGTGGAACAGATATGGAGTGTCGTACACGCACAGATATTGACTCAAAAGTCATCGGATCACAAAGTATTTGTTATTGTGTTAAACCGGGTAAAGTATGCGGTTCTGATGGTGTCACATATTCAAAGTGTAAAATGAATGCAACTATCACTTCGTCAAATGGTAAGATCACTGCGCTGAGCGAAGGACCTTGTCAAACTGGTAAGTGATATTCAGAAATACTTTTTCTTATTTTGACATATGTTTTTGCGGCCTATAAAAGTAAGGCAAGCGAGTAGTAGTCACTAATCGATAATAGTGATTAAGGACAATTTTATACCAAGGAACTTCATACAATGATTCCCTTTTATAAATTTCAACAAAGAAAGAAGAAAGATTTGCGCAGAATAGTCTGGGTCCATTTTATTTCGTTGGTTCTCATCAGCTGCGTACATCCTTTGTCCATTAGCATGCATATTGTCAGAGCGTCATAGTAAAATCAGGCGCTGCGATTTACAAGGTGTCTAAAGTGTTACGACGTATGCATATATATTGTTAGAGAGAAGTTTCTTGAAAAAAAATTCATTAACAGTTGTGTTGTTGGGGTGTTAACAAAAGACAATTAGCAATAGTTACGTAATTAGATAAGAGAAGATCAAAATTTTAAAATTTCGGTGCACATGAGGTCAGATAAGAAGTTAATGATACATACAGTAAGCAGAACTCAGAAGGTCAAGAAAAATTATCTCTTAAGAGAGCCAAGCAAAAATAAAGCGGGGGTAGAGTGAAAAGATAAATTAACAAAATTAAAAAACAAAGAGTTACTTAGAAGTGTGTCACCAGGGTACCTGAAGTCCAACAACGTATTCTTTTTGGACACATAAATCAGGCTTCAATCTTTTTATTGCTATAGCTTCAGCAAACCTGAGAAGACTTGAGGTACTACTTTGTTTGTTAATTATTTTGAATGATTCCAGCACATCTACTAGGTGCCCTGGGTCAATCAGGTGTTGGCGATTGAAGGGCTTAAACAGTTCGGTCCCTTTAACCGGAGGCTCCTTGGTGCATGTTTGCAGAATCTGACGTAAGCCCTCCTCTCTGTACTTCCAATGTAACTGCTCCCGCATATACATGTGAATCGGTATATGCAAAGGATGTAACATGATATTGACTTAGGCTCAAGTCGTTGGCAACTTCATTAGCACAGAATCCTGAAGAACCGGTATCTAGATTAACGCAGTTGATTTTCAGTCACTCCTCAAGTAGTACTGATTTGTGACTAAATCCCCTTCCATAAATCATATTTGTTGACAGGAGGCTGTCTGAGGTAGCCTTGGGTGTGCGGATCACTATTGGGGTAACGGCTGATGGTTGTAGGTGATATGAAAGTGTGGACTCCACAGGGGGTGTCTAGCTGTCATGTGAATGAATAACCCATTACTGTCGTTCATTTTCGTACCAACTGTCTAGGCAGATCTCGCGTCAACTTAACTCATACCGGATTTGCAAGAGAAGAGACTATGTGAGATAGTATTTAGTTGGCGAACTGTTACTAATGGAGACTACATCAGTTTGAATAAGACTAACAGGAGAAGACGTAACTAAGCAACTGGTTTGATTATAAACATACAGGAATGCATCATTTATTTCCATGATAGCTGAGCTGTACCGGTGGTGATGATTGCAATTACACGATGACTTGATTAGCAAGCAGCTGTGTCTCGTAGGTCAACTGGTGGATCACCGGACTAATAATTCGGAGACCTCTGGTTCGAATCCTATCACCACCGACACTCTCATTTCACTATATTTGCTGAGTCATTAGCGACTATATAAGTCATATTCGATTGTGAATTCCCAACAGTTAGATGTGATTTCCACTAACTATGATCCAATACTTGTTGACTAAACGTGTAGGTTGGAAGTTGGAAATTCCACGATAGAATAAATTTATTTGAACAGAGTACACTGTGATACAGTATCATTTATTTACTGATAACGTTTCGAGCACGATTTTTTGCTGCCTATAATCATGTTAAGGCACTCACATTGTATCAACAGAAGACAAGGGCCAGGCAACAGATCTTTTATTTAGGAAATCAACACATATTTATAGATTTTCATGTACATTATTATAGATTATTGTAAGCAAACAAACACAGTCTTCTGATTGGTAGTTTCTCTCTGAACGCTAATCTTTCATCTCTTTGTGGCCATTTCTTGAAGTTCAGATTATCTATCTGAAAATTGTATCCGCCTACGCAAACAAAGTCTGCTGTGGTTAGTTGTTGAATCAGTCTTTGTTCATATTTTTCTCACGACCAATATTGGGGACGTAAACATTGACGTAAATTACTGTCTACAGAATTGGCTAGCAGCCAGCTCTCACCACAACATGACTTTCAAACTTCGTTTATATAATTCCATCTTTTCTTATACTTTGATTTTATTGGTAGTAATATTTTCTGCGTCTCTGGTGCTGGTGTTGTGTTGTCTCTACTGCATGTGTTCGACGAACAAAGATTCTGTGATCAGTCTATCTCTCCACCTACGTATATTACTTTTTAGAACTGTGGCTGTTTCACATCCTATTGTGCAATTGTGCATTAATGCATACATTGTGATTACTGAGTTTTTCTTTGCACTATTCGTCATCTGACTGCAGCATTGGGTGACGCGGGTTTGAATCTCAGAAGGAACATGAATTCCTTCAAGGTTGCAGATACGTCTTGCTGACTAGTGAGTACCGACTAGCACGAAACCTAGGTCTTGGCAAGGCTTCCTTCCGATTGCCTCCAACCATCTAATATCATCATTGTACACCTAACTAAATTTTTATATTCAAACAATCTGATTACCCATTTTGTTGATTTGACCAATGTAGTAGACATAGTAGTCATTGCAAGGTAGAAAAGTTCGGAATTTAACTCTTCTGTCAAGAATATTAATGTTACTGCAGAAAATAATCAGTCCAACAAAGGAAATCCTTTCCAAAAACTGTACCATCCTTACAGGATGGCGCATATTAATTTGCTGATACAAGCACCATTAGTGTTTACTAGCCTATTCATGTTATTCTGAACACTGGAAGAACATTTTGTTCTTTTGGGGATAAACTTGTCAAAGCATGTGACCAGAATAACTCAGCTGAGGTGACCGAGTCAGTTTAAAACGCGCCTAATTCAGTAATATTCTAGGAGATCAATTAGTTACATTACTTGTACGACTTAAAGCTCATTTTCCTGTTGTTCTTAACTCGAATTATCATTCATGGTTGTTGTATGGCCAATCTATCCTTCGAGGTTTGTGCTTAAGCCACACAACTGGCTGACTCCTTAGTCTAACCTCCTTCAACCTGGTAGAAATTCTGTTTTTGTCACTACTGCAACTAATGAAGGAGGAATATAGAATACTTATGTCTGCCCAAGGATATATTTAGTTAATTGTAGTATTGAGAGAATTGTAATTGCAACACAAGGCAGTTGACGCACTCTTTGTTCCTTGAAAATCCAATTGTCCACAATATGTCTTCTTTGCGCATTATCAATACAAACAAACAAATTCATCTTTGTGGGGTGAACTGTCTGAAGGCGGAATGAATTCATGAATGACTTTGATCCCCTACAGTATATTACTATTTCATAACTTCGTTGCCTCCTTGATGACATTTATGGAGAGATATTCAGCACGCATATATATTATAATGTGAATACATTTTTCTATTCCTTCACGTTCCAGTGGAACATAAGGCTTCAAGCTAGAGGCTTCAAGTTTCGGTAGCAGTGGTGTTTATTTTTACGGAATGGGGTTGCTGCCAACCTCATGCCCAACCTTCTCCCTTCTTAGCAGTCTTACTACTGGTTTAGTGAGGTAAAGGAGTGCGTCAGTGGCCGGGGATCGAACCCCAAACCACACATGCGTGGTTAGCCAGCATTCTACCGCTGTGCCACCGACGCACATGATGCGAATATATATGTTTCATTTTCTCAAAGGAAATTAAGGTGAAATTCTACTTCGAAATGTGCGATTTTCAAATGACAACTTTTATGCTTCATTCTTAAATCACCCACATGAATTTTATTGGATATTACTGGTATGAATTATGATCGAAAAATCAATCATATAATCATTTTGTCAATAACAAGTGAATAAGGAACAAAACTGATGATGAAACAAGCTTTTAAAAATACGATTATAATTTCTGTTCTCATATGAAGCTCTAATCAAAGCGGGATTTACAAAGTTGCCATTGACTGCATAAGTATGACTTCAAATTGTAAATCATCAAGTCTTTATGTGTTTGTGTGTGTGTGCGTATGTCGGTGGTTCAGTGATAAAATGTTCGCGGTCCTGGTTCGATTTCAGGCATCCGACACACCTTTCAACCCCGTGTAGTTTAATAGCCTGTAGTAAGGTCGGAAAGATGGAAGTTTCAGCGTGAGGCTATCAAGATCACTCGGTGAAAGCAAGACCTCGACTACTGAAATCTCATAGATTGAAGACTAATGTCCCACTCGAGATGCTAGGAATGAAAATGAAGTCTTTTGTTAATCTTGTCCAAGGTTCAACCGGTTCTTGAGAATAATATCTATCGAAGCATACAAGGCTGAATGACTGGATTTGGCTGTTGCTAGTATGCAGAGAGACGGAAACAAGATTTTAATTATAATAATAATAGCTTTATTATGCACAATACGTTTACACAGTATACACACTTCTCAGGGTTGTTTATACCATAATATTTACTCTTCATCCAAGAGTTTCAAATAATTTTTGATGTGGTTGTCTTCTCTGAGCTGGATAGTTTATTTGCTAAGCTTTCATTATTGCCCCAACACTAGGCAACATCTTCAGCGCTTACTTCAATTTGAATTAAAGTGAGCGTTTAGATTTCTCCATTGGTTTATTAGTCATCTTTCCTCGTGAGTGACCCTGAACGTGACTCTTTGGTTGTGTTTGAGTGTTTTCACATCCTTTAGGCTACTTGTATTGGTATGGGTGCTGATTGTTTCCTTGACTTGAACTTTGACCCTTTGTGTGTGAGATTTTCTTCTTATCGGTTGGTAAATTTTGTTTATCTCGATGTATCTATTGATTGATGCTTCTGAAAATTTTCTAGCATTCTTGTTGTTTCCTCTGTCTAATATTTGAACTGTAGTTGTCCCAGTCTAATTGATGTCCGTGGTTTTCTGTATGTCGCGAGTGATATGAGGGAGTGGATG